AGAAGTGGAAAGAAGGTGTAAGAACAAGACACCAAAGGAAACAAAAGCAAATAAGCGTCAACAAGTAATAACTACAGAATAAGATGGCAGAAGAAATCAAATTGATCTTTAACATTAACGGTTTAAATTCACAAATTAAGAAGAAAAACAATAACTAAATTACAGAAATTGAACTTAGATATTATTTGCCTTCAAAAACATATCCAGAAACATCAAAGTAAACTCTTAGAAGCAACAAAGTTAGGAGATTTATATGTATCTCTAGCCCAACAAAAAAGGGGGGATAGCAATATATATTAAGAAACATTTACAAGCAAAACAGGTATATGCAGACGAGGAGGTTAGGATTCTGATGTTAGAAATTTATATAAACTATAAGAAAATGTTATTGACAGTGATATATGCACCGAACGAGAAACAAGAAAATTTTTACACTAAATTATACAGAAAACTAGTAGAACAGGAATATGAGAACGTATGCCTGCTAGGTGATTTCAATGTGATAGCAAATTTAGGAAAAGATTATAATAATGAAAGCCCAGGGGGGGAAAGGAAAAGGAAAACACTACCAAAAGTATTCTATCAAATGGCGGAAGAATTAGGATTAAAAGAGAGAGAGAAAGAAATCCAGACAGAAAAGCAATATACTTACTATTCAGCACCACATACATCATGGTCAAGATTGGATATGCTATGGACAAATGTGGAAATTGAATGGAATATAAAAAAAATAGAAATTGAAACTAACACATGGGTAAACCATAATCCTATTAAAATAATTTGGAAAGGATTGAAAAAGAATAGAAGACGGATGTTAAACAGGGAGATCCTAAAAGAAAAAGAATGTGTTAAGATGATGGAAAAAGAATTGGAGTTCTTTCTGAAAGAAAATAAAAAACAACAAACATCAATTCCAAACTTATGGGATACAACTAAAGCATACATTAGGGGCTTAGCAATTTCATATAATACATGTAGATACAAGGGGAAAAAAGGAGAACAATCAACTACTAGACACCCTTAAGGAGCTAGAAAAAAACACTAGAAAAAACACCACATAACAAGACAGCAAATACGGAAAGGATAATGATCAGGCATAAACTGAATATGTTAGCTCAAGATGGTTACAGGACATGAAAAAGATAAAACAGAATTACTTTGAACACACGAACAAGCCGGGAAGGTGGCTAGCCTGTAGACTTAAGAAAGAAAAGGAAAAAAGATCAATCCAACAATTGAAGGATACCGATGGTATGTTACAACATAAAATTGAAAAGAAAAAACAATGTTAAAAGTTTTTTTGAGGAATTATATAGTAGGGAAGATGTACCAGAGAAAAATATCTAACAATATTTAGAAGGGAAAGGACTACCCGCGATCCCAGAAGAAAATAAAGAAGAGATAAAGAGGGAAATAACACTAAAATAACAGCAAGAAGCAAACCTGGAGCAGAAAAGCAATAAGACATCAGGACTGGATGGTCTCCCAGGAGAACTGTATAAAATGTTCCAAGAAAAATTAGAAATGCAATTATTAGAACTTTACAATGAGGTGCTGACGACAGCGAAGTTACTCTAGTCATGGGGGGAGACATACATAATATTGATCCCAAAAGAAGATTCGGACCATCAACTAATCCAAAATTATAGGCCCATATCCCTTTTAAATGTTGACTGCAAAATATTTATGTTCATAATGGCAGAAAGACTGAAAAAAACTCTTAACCAGATCATACTTAGCGACCAAAATGGATTCCTACCGAATAGACAAATAAAAAATAATACAAGAATGGTAATGAATATAATAGAATACTATGAAGCAAACCCACGAAAGCATCAAGGCAATGGTCTTCCTTGATGCGCAAAAGGCATTTGACAATGTTAATTGGCAGTACATAATACAGCAATTAGAAAACATGCAATTTGGCAATAAATTTATCAAACTGATCTCGACAATTTATACGACACAGATGGCCAGTGTAATATTGAACAGTGATAAAATGGAAACATTTAAGATTAATAAGGGAATAAGGCAGGGATGCCCACTGTCACCCCTTTTCTTTATCCTTACTTTAGAAAATCTATTGGAAAATGTTAGGAAAAATGAAGAAATTAAACGAGCTTTAATTAAAAAGGAGCATTATAAAGTACAGGCATTTGCCGATATAGTATTTTTTCTGGCAGATCCAGAGGATACGGGAGTAAAATTAATAAAGGAAATAGAGGAATTCAGCAAGGTTGCAGGCCTTAAGATAAATAAAAATAAAACAAATGATTGACTAAAAATCTAAAGGATAAGCAAAAAAAAAAAAAAGAATTAGAAGGAAATTGGGAATGCAAAGTGTAAAAAAGGTAAAATATTTAGGCATTTGGTTAACAGCAAGATGCTCTTCAATTAAAAAAGATAATTATGACAAATTAATAATACAAATTAAAAAAGAATTGAAAATGTGAAAATTACAGCTATCATTACTGGGGGAAATTGCGGCAATTAAAATGTCTACACTATGAAAAATACTATATCTTTTTCAAACTGTACCAATAAGATTGGATAAAACTATTTTTAGAGAACTAGATCAAATAATAAGCAAATTTGTTTGGGACATGAAAAAAGCCAGGATAAAAATGAAATTACTGTAGGATAAAAGAGAAAGCGGTGACTTTGGACTCCCTGACTGGGAAATGTATTACCAGGCAGCTGATACGGTATGGATTAAGGATTGGATCAACCTGGAAAATAGAAGAGTATTGTCGATAGAGGGTCATAACTTGCAGAGAGGGTGGCATAGTTTTCTATGGGATGGGAAATATAAGCAGCATGCATACTTTCAGAGACACATGATTAGAGATTCATTAATTAGGATATGGAACAAGATTAAAATGAATCATTATACTAAAATACCAAACTGGTTGTCAATTATGGAAGCACAAATCTACCCAAAATACAATGGATCTGGGGAAAAAGAGGAATTACAAAGAATTACAAATTAGAAAGACCTATTAGACACCCAAGGAAGATTAAAAACGAGACAAGAATTACAGTAACAAAATATAAAGGTAGATTGGTGGCCATGCCTGCAAATCCAGGCAAGATATAAAAAGGACAAAGAACAATTTGTTTTCTATATGAAAAAGCATCAATTAGATAAAATCCTACAAGAAATGGAAAAGAAAATGATTTCAAAAATATATAACTTTCTACTAGATTTCAAAATGGAAGAGGAGGTGGTCAAAGAGATGATGGTGGTATGGGCGAAAAATGTTGGCCATAATATAGACCTGGAAAATTGGGAGAGAATGTGGGGATCAAATTACAAACTAATCACATCTACAGCATACAGGGAAAATCAATACAAAATAGATGGCACCTTCTGCCAAATAGGTTGCCAAAAATGTTCAATTCAAATCCAAATTGTTGGAAATGTGGAAAAGAAAAAGGCACTTATTTCCATACCTGGTAGACATGCCAGGAAGTGAAAAAATACTGGAATACAATTAGACAATGACTAGAAGAAATCACGAATCAGAAAACTGAATTTAATCCGGAAACTTTTTTATTATGTATAATAACACAAGAATGCAATAAAACAGATAGATATATCATACTACACACATTAACAGCTGCAAGGATTTCATATGCACAACTCTGGAAAGAAAAAAGGTACCACCAGAAGGCTTGGTTATAAAAAAAATAATACACTTTATAGAGATGGACAGACTAATCATGAAACTAAAAGACAGAGAAGATTCAATATACTACAGGGCCTGGGATGTCTGGTATGAGTAGTTTAGAAATAAAAAGAAAAGAAAATGACAATTAGGAAAAGAATGAGGGAATATGTAAATATGCCAGAGAAGATCCATGTGTAAGGATAAAAAATATTGATTTATAGCAAGAGTAAGATGTAATGGTAATGGAATAAGTAACTACATATGTTGAAAAATGTAAGGAGATGTAAAAGATGTCTTGATGTTGATAACAATGTATAAAGTTTTATGTTTTTAAGATTTGAAAACTTAATATTTATTTTTAAAAAAGAAATTTAAACCATGGTAAAGGTGTGAGTCTTTCACTGTATGCACTATGTATTCAGTTGTAAATTAGCCATCCAATTTAGCCTAGATATGCAAACCCTACCCTTGTTGGTTTCTAGTTGTGTCTTGCAATTTTCTAAAACCGAACTGAATAAACCATAGATATGCTTGTCATGAGAATAGCTTACATTTATTGATATTAATATGGAAAATGTGCTGTACAGAACAAGCTTTGGATGGGCAGAATCCTCTATTTTACTACTCAGTTCACCAGTACCATTTTTAAATAAATATGCACCCTGCAAATCAACCGTTTTTGTATACATAGTGATATACATGTAGCAGCTGACACATAAACAAGAATATGCAAACAGAAAAGACAGCACTGACTACAACGTTAATTTAAAAGGCCTACAAGAGCAAATAAGGAGCGCTCCCATTGTCAGATTGCTCAAAACGGGTAATCGTGACTCATTTCCAACTGATACGGAACTGATAAAAACAAGAATGGACTGAATGTCCATTTCTCTAAGCATTACACCCACGTTTTTAACTCCTTTTACAACAGAACTCGTTGAGAAATCCTTTTAGGATGGTTACCCAATCTAACATTGCTCATCGTGCTCTCTCCAGCAAAAGCGAAAAATAGCCTTGCAGAGCCTTAACGACGAACCCGTTCATCTGATCAAACCGCAATCTCAGGCTTTCGGGGGACGAAGTGGGGCTGTGCTCTGGGAAAGCTACAGCGCCGACCCCGATGATTCCTGCTCTTCTCATCCTAATAGGATGAACAGATGGTTGGCGCGGGATCGGGCGCGGCATCAAAAGCTGGCAGAACCAGTCCGGCACACCTGGCAAACCACCACGCGAACTCCTTCTCCTGCTGTCCCAGCTCACCGCTCCGCCTCTTTGATCCTTTCCCCCACAGCGATTGGCCCGAAGTCTCCAGCACCGCCTCCTTTTCTTCTGATGCCCCGCCTCCCTCCCCTTCCTTCGTCTCTCCAGAGCCTCGGAGAGTTGGAACTACCTTGAGTTGTTGGCATATGCGTTGGGATCTCCGCTGTCCACGGAGCACATAGTAAGCGGTTTTGATGCTAAGGCCGGTGGGGAGCGCTGGGGCCCCATAGTAGGACTTGGTGGAGCTGGGAAGGCGACAGAATTCCTTGGGTTTAGCAACGTTTCACGTTTGCACTAAAGGCGGAGATGAGTGGGTGGTCCTCGCCCAAAGCTTTGGCTGGCTGTGGGTGAGACTTTTCATAAGCAGTCAAGTCTCCGTTTTCAAGTTAAATTCTTCTTTGCTTTAAGTCTCTGGTTCTTAGCTTTGTGATTAATTGCAATTCGTTATACGTTATTAGCGTTCCCCACGTTGCATAGTGCATAGTGTGCTTTTTTTTTTTTTTAACCAGAACTAGGAATAGGACTAAGAAAGCGAGGAAGGAGAAAGCTTCTATGTAGAAGCACAATCCGAGCTAAATCTTCAAACCAAATGCTGCCAATATGGAGAGTTAGTGCTGTTTTAGAAACCTCGAGACTGAGTTCTAGTCCCGACTTTGAGCCAGTCACTTTCACCCAGACCAACTCACCTCATAGGGTTGTTGCAGAGAAAATAAGAGGAGGGATTATTATGTATGACCCCTTACTTGTAAAGCAATAAAAGCAGGATAAAAATTTAAGAAAATATCTGTTTTAAATGAAGATTCTGCTGTTAATAGAAATACCAACTGAGGCAGGAAGCATGCCTTTGTGTTTTCCAGAAGCTAGTAGGGTTCTCAGAAAAAGGGGAGAACAGCTCATTTTTAAATTTGACATCTGTATTGTCCAAAGCAACCTGTTAAATGTAGAACTTCCTAGGTTTGGTGATTTTCAGCCTCCGGAAGCTGCAAATACCACAATCAATGAGAAAGGCAGCTATTGATTGAAATTGTAGTTCCTCATAATTGGAGGGACACCTGGTTGTAGAAATCTAAATTGGCTTTTATCATTGTTGAGATGTGTTCCTGTGCATCATGGTAGTCAACTGTTCAAATGCTGAACTGTAGTTTTTAACTCCATTCAAAAAAAATTCCTTTAAAGAGATCAATAGGATCTAATTCTAAGTAGTATAACTGAATAGGATTGTGGACCAGGCATTTAACTGTTAGATACCAGTTTATTGTGTTGTAAATTGTGTTTTGATTAAAACTTTTATTTATTTGCTTAATTAATTTAGTGGCCCATCTTATATGGCAAGTAACTTGGTGGCGTACAAAACTAAAACATCAAAAATCATTACCTTTATTTAAAAACTATAAGAACTGAGATTAAAAATAATAGATGAAGGGAAGTTAACAGTGATCATTAGATCACCTGTACCCTTAGTTCCCAGGCTTGCTGACATAATCCAGTCTTGAGTGATTTTTGGAAGCTCACTGTCTTCAGGGGGAATAAAAGGAATGATGATGCCAATCTCACCTTGATGAGGTGATTCCACAATGCTGTGCCATGGCAGAAATGGCTCACTGCCACTTGCCAGATGTAGTTCCCTAGACAGAACCCATAACATACTCGCTCTGTTTGGATCTGGTTCTGATTTAAAACATCAGACAGGTTACTTTTGGCCGTATCTGTGTTTTTACAGGTAGTTGTAAAAGCACTAAAGTTTCAGTAAGGTACAATACAATAAGTTATATTCTACTCTATATTTGAAATACTATAATTTCTTGTTTTCCCTTTTTGAGATATCTGACAGATTTACAACTTCGTATATAAAAAGTTTTTAGTACTTTTAAAGTGTGGGAAAAGTATCCTTTTAATTTTGGAAAGAAAAAAATGCTAAGTTTATTAATGAATCTCTGAGTTGTAATTATTCAAACTAAAGCATTATTAAATAGTGAATGAATCATGTTTTTAGTGCTTAATGTGCCTAATGATATCTTAAAGACCCAAGTATGTCATTTGACAGACTTTGGAAGTAGGAACATGTCTATAATCTGTGGTTTAATGGTGTTCTGCTGCAATAGAATCAGGAAGTCTCAGAAAAGATACAAGTGCACTGATTTTCCCTTTTTTCTAAAGTTTTGGGTGAGTTTGTGTAGGGATTATGTTTTGCTCTGGAGGCTATGATTTGTATAATCATTAAAGGAAGGATTTTCCCAGTATTCTTCCTCTCGTAATAGTAGGATAAAGGATTCTAATACTACAGAAGCCTGATGAGTTTCTGAGCTATTGCTGGGGTGGGGTGGGAGTAGAGGGACAAATGCTTGCAAAATTATTGGGTGGTGTAAACAATCCCTAAAATCCTAACTCAAAATAGATAAAATGAATTGCTTCGCTAGATAGAAAGTTAAACAACTTTGCCTCAGTTATGAGATCAGCATCCACTAAGATTGCTGATTGGAGATTTCCTTTCCTTTGAAGATCTGATTCTACTATTTTGTGTCCTAAAGTCCTCAAACTATTCAAGTCTGTTTCTTTTTCTATTTTACCAGGAATCTTTCAGAAATCTGGCTTATACATTGTTGACAGAAACAAGTATCATATACGTCCACATCAGGGCATACTTGGGGAGACTCATTGCCGTTACTTGAATAGAAATTAATTTAGCAACTTTTGTCTTCTCTGTAATGCCAAATGTTTATTTATTACCATAGAGCTTTATTCCTGTTATGTAACCATAACACCTAATGCCATGTAAAAGTACAACTTTTTATATTCATTTGTAAAATAGTTAAGTACATGAATATGAGGTTTTGGATCTCTGTTCTCAATAAATGAAATGAAAAGTTTCATAAGTGTACTTTTTATTGTGATGCCAAATTATATATTTAAGATGAGAGTAGAGAACAAAAATAGAGAATGTAACCGCAAGTTACATTAGAGAAGCTGGAACAATTGATTCTTTAAACAATTGATTCCATATTTTTAAAAACTCCATTACTATTCAAGGTAGCATTGTTGTACTTTGGAGATTAATAGTTTTGCTGCAGCAAAATCTTGCACTTCTACAATAAATTGATATATAACATAAAAGTTCAGAAGTAGCTGTCTTCAGATATTACCTTGAAACTGGGTAGAAAATGAGTCACATGAAATTCTACTTTTCTTGACTTTGATTTATTCAGTTGGACGATAAAATGAACACAAACACATGTAGTTGATGAAGAGCTGCTCTAGGGAATTGCCATCTTTCCTGCTCATTTTTACGGCTACATAAAAATAGGCTACAAAACAGCAGATGATTAGAAAACTTGGCAATATATTGTTAACGTTACCAATAAGCATCTTGCCTTAATTATTTTTTCCCTAGCATGCATAGCTGTTTTCGTAATTGGCTGAACGCTTCAGTGTATGTTATGAGGGGTAATTTGAAATATTTTTTTTATTTACTGTCAATTTAAACTAGGCAGCTGCTTTGGGATTCAGTCAAAGATATTGCTTTGACTATTTTAAATTATTTAAAGGGGGTAGCACACTATTATTTCCAGTGGCCACTCCTAAAGTTTAGGGTTTTTTTAAAAAAATCCAACTAATTCTGTGCAATATTATCAAAAGTTTATATTTTTTCTAGTTGCTACCCAAGTGGTGAAGTGATGGATACTTTGCATTAGAATGGACAGGTTTCATGTGATATGTTTAGTTTTCATAAAGAGCTTGAAAAATGATGCATCCCAAAGGCATCAATTTCTCTGACACAAATGAAAAGGAAGATCATAGGTAAGCAAGTTCATTAGCTGAGTCAGTTAAAAAAAACATTTTAAAAGCTAAATATGAAACTTGGTATAACAAAAAATATTTTTTTCATATAATTCACTTGAATCATTAAATCATGTGTGAATGGGATGAACTAATAATCATCCCTAATATCAGAGGTGGTATTCAGCAGGTTCTGATCAGTTCTGGAGAACCGGTAATGGAAATTTTGAGTAGTTCGGGGAACCGGTAAATACCACGTCTGACTGGCCCGCCTCCATCTATTCTCTGCCTCCCGAGTCCCAGCTGATCGGCTGGATCTTTTGTTGCCCTGCTCAGGAGAACGGAGCTGGAAAGCAGGTTAGTGGGATGGGCAGGGAATGGGATTTTGCAGTTACCTTCCCCCAGGAGTGGGGAGAAATGGAGATTTTGCAGTATCCTTCTCCTGCTACGCACACCAGGCCACGCCACACCCACCAGCCATGCCCACAGAACTGGTAGTAAAAAAAATCTGAATCCCACCACTGCTTTATATGCTTCTATTTTGGTGTATTGAACTTCAGTGCTTATAAATGCCAACCAGCAGAGGAAATACTGAATTGTCTGTGTGAGGAAAAGAGTTCTATACTTCTTATACATAAAATTGCCTACAAAACTATTAAACTGAGAGCTACATAAAGATAAACTAAGGGCCGCTGTAACCCCAGTGTTGCATCCCACCATAAAAGGTTCTAGTCCCTTTATTTGTATTGAGAAAAAACTACCCTGCTGAATGAAATTACTCATTTACTCACACTCGTCTTTATTGTAATCTGTGTTGGGAATTGGCATTCTCAAACCATTACTCATTCGTATATGAGATTTGTATGAGATGGCTTTGCTAGCCAGTGTTTCAGTTTTTACAAACACAACAAGCAGAAGATGTGTGACATTCTCTTTTGCAGAACAATTGTCCTGCTGAGATTAGGTAGGCTCCCAGTGTGAGTCTCTGGGTTATGAAACATTTATAGACTGGCTTTGGCATTTCCTCTTTTTTAATGGTATCAGCATTAATAATGATTACTGTACAGTAAGATTTTAATTAAAATGAAAAGCAATATAAATCTGAAAAGAAAAATTATCCCAACAGGGGGAAAATGTTTTTCTAGGATTTGTCTATGTAGTCCTCATTTACTCTGCTGCTTTATTTCTTGTCTGTCCACTGTAAATAGAAATTTATTTACTTAGCTCCTAGGTTGAATTAATATAGCAGGTTTTGCAACTAGTTTCCTGATGATTGTGCAAGTAGATTAAATAATTCAATTAGTATGTCATAAAAATCATCAATGCACCATTTTTATTCTAAGTATGGAAGAAAAATCACACAAAAAAATGTCATGTGATAAATGAAAAAATAACTGATGGGGTGGT